AAGGTTGTGGATTTGGGGTTCTTGGGGTTTTCATGAGCTGTAAGCCATAATCATCACAATTATGACAAATCACGGCTTGAATTATCTTGCTTTGCATGTAATGAGTCTATCTCATATATTAGTTTCCCCTTTTAAGTTGCATTAGTGAAATAAATGAACTTTGCACGATATTCTAATTATTCGAGTTTCACCTGTAGATGTGCATATATTATACAGGCACGAGAAATGTAGTGATTTTTTTTTTAATTAAATTTTTTTAAATAAAAGTCATTTTTAATGCTCAACAAGTTAATAGAAGTAGTGATACATAAAGTATAAAAAAAATCAGGGAAAACAAAAAGTCTAATTAACCTCATTGTAAGAAGAATAAGAAAGGTCTGTAGATTCATTCAGCAATTAGCAGTACTCTAGTTCTAACTGTACCAATATTAGTCATGGAAGTTAAAAAGCAATCCAGTTATATAGAGTTGGATTGGCAAAACCCAGCTAAAGCAGAGGCATATCTACAAAACATTGTGCTCCTGGAACCCTGTCCAGGTCCTGGCAACCAACCAGTCACTGGTTGCCAGGAGTAGGGTGGGACACCAGTAAGAGCATCAAGCCTGCATACACATCTCACTGCCGCTCTGGTTGATCTGGGTGGGAAGATGTGTATGGCCCTTACACATCTCCCCACTTAGATCTTACCAAGCTGGGACACTCTGGCTTCCCGCCCAACTCCTGGCAACCAGTGACATCACTGTTTGCCAGGAGCAAAGTGGGACCCCAGACAGAGTGTCCCTAGTTGCTAAGAGCCGGGCGGGAAGCAGCCCCCCCCCCCCTTCAAGTGGCGCCCAGCAATGTGCCATAACTTGGATATACTGACTCAACAGCCCTTGAATCCTAACTTTGCTCTATTTCTGTACTGCAGCCACTGTCAGTCTCTTTAGTTTCTTTGACACTTCAGAGATAGTGTTCCCTCCCACCCCTGCTGTGTGTTGTGATTCCATCCTTCTACCCCTACCTCATTGCTGTGTCCTGTATTCACTTATGGGTCAGCAGAAGGACCCTGGGACATGGACGTCCGACATACCCAGAGGGCTGTGCTGTAACGGAGTGTGGGTAGGAGACATTGGCCGCTGGAGAGGTAAGTAGAATACCTCTTCTATTGCACGGAACTTGCTTTAGGATAATTTTATAACCTGAACAGGTCACTTTAAATGCCAGATCTGTTAACTGACACATTTTGATGTACATTTCCATGTGGCTTTTCTATGTAAGGCAACCTGAATGGTAGATTACTTGTCCTTTAACCTTGTAAAAAAAAATGGTTTTGTATTGGCACAGGTGGAGCGAATCTCAAGCTATTCTTTCCATCTGAATATTCTCCTTTGCTAGGATAATGTAAAGCCTCGGTGAAGTCATATATGACCTAACATTTATGTTTTTTAACCAAAAACATAATTTAAATGAAAATGATTGGAAGTAAATGTTCTAAAATATTATATTTGTTGCCTTTGTTTGTGCAACTTAAACAGTTTAATTAATAAAGAGAGTTCCCCACACAAAGACCGAACTGCTATTGCCTAACTGCAGTGGAGAACACTGACCTGGTTAGGTTGTTTGGCAGGCTGCCTGGATCACAAGCCTGACAGATACATCTTTTGGCAAGCAAATAGGACAGAAATGCTGTATGTATTCCAATCGTGGACTTGGTCGATTGCCTGGACATCAATACCACAGCCTGAGAAAATGTTAACAGTTGCAATACATGCATTTTACAGGCTGAATTTTTCGAGCAGTGTATGGGGTCGTCTATGGTGCCTAAACAAGACCTCTTCGAACTGCTGACACTTCCATATACTTTTAGGGTATGTCCGATTTGTTGCTTCCATCTAGTATAGCCAGTAAGGAGTCACTTGATAATAGATGTAGAAAGTGCACAATTAGTAACTCTTATAAGTCCCCAGGTACAGGGGGTTTCTGTTCACATTGGTCGTTCCACACCACTGTATCATTTTCCTGATGTTGTCAGAATAACACTAAGTGAAATAAGCATTAAAGGGAAACTATAGAGTGTTTGCAGTCATTTTAACTTACTGTTGTAGTATTGACCTGAAAGTAATTTTTGATGCAACATTCACATTTTTACTTCCATATGTTAATTAGCATATCGCATAGACAAGATGGTAACTGCTCCCTCTAGTGGTCACTTCAATACTGGGGAATGCAATTAGCATTCCTGTTTACAGCATTCCTTGTATTAAAATGCAAGGTGCACTTATTGCATCCAGCCTCCCACCCATCTCAAATCGCTGCATGATGCTGTCAAAAAAACACACCTGTGCAAAAAAAACATATTTAACTCATAGCAGGTTTTCACACTAGAGACAGTAATAATGAATCTTATGGAAAGATCCGGAAAGACTAGAAATCTAGCAAAAAGACACTTCACCACTACGCATGAGTGCTTTTTGCAAGACTTGCAATCCTCAGCGTTCCCAGGATCCCACTAGCAGGATCATGTAGTATTGTAGCGGATCACCTGCACTCCATACAGTGTTATAACTAGGGATGTAACCATACCGATACTAGTATCGGTATCAGTGCCAATACAGAGTATTTGGGCGAGTACTCATGCTCACCCAAATGCTCCGATACTTACCTCCGATACTGGAACTTCCGATCAGAGGGAGATCTCCCTCTGATCCGCAGTGCCAAGAGAGCATAGCATGGAGCCGCCTTCCTTTTCAATCAGGAAGCTGAGAGGCCTGTCACTGTGAAAGCCAGGTAGCCTCAGCGAGTGATGCCGGTGTTCTTTTGATGGAACACCGGCTTCCCAGCCAATCAGGAAGCCAGGCGGCGGATCATGATCCTGATAATTGGGGCACATGGCACCGGTATCGGTACTTAGTATCGGCAAATACCAACTAAAAAAATATCGGTGCATCCCTAGTCATAACTTTGCACAATAGTGGTGCTCGCAGTGCTGAACAGGGATGGTGCTGTGAAATCTCAAAGTACTGGATAAAAGATCACCAGCGCTCACAAGTTTCAAAGTGTACTTTTCCGTAGGGTACTTTTAGTGCGCAGGGTCCCTTTTCTATGTCACTATGATGAAGGAACCCTGCGTGGCCCCAAAACGGGGGCTTTGATTACGCATGTGTCGCATGATCAATAAAGAAGTATGGAAATTTACAATGTAAACCTTGTGAGTTCTAGTGATCTTCTATCCAATACTAGCAGGATCATGATATCACCATCACCTAGGCACTGTGAGTGGAAGCCAGCTATAATAATAATTTATATATTTTTTTTACCATAGGTGTATTTTCATGCAGGAATTTGAGAT